CCTTAGAAACAAAGTAGGTCCATTGTCCGTGAAACATTTTATAGGCCAGTAAATACTTCAATAGGCCTTTTCTCATGAATTTCTGATGCATACAAACAAATATGCAATTTCTTTTTCCTCCTTGTCTCTACTCACCCTCAGGCAGAGTATATTAAAGTCTATGCTGCACACCTATCTGAATCAGCCCGTGACTTATCTCTGATGCTATTCACAGTGGTAAAAGGGGTTGTGTGTTAACTATACAATATGTTGAATGAGTAGGATGATGCAATATTAATCTATCTGAACAGAAAAGAGAGGTACAAATACACCGTAATACTGGAAGATATAAATATGTGGTAGAGGTTAGCCTAGTCTTTTATTTCCGTTTGTATATTAAAAACATTTTTATAACAAGGATAGGATGTATTCAAACATCTGTCAGGGTTCCAAATAGATCCAAAAGTAAATCAGAGTCCAAGGCAAAGTATTGCTCAAAGTTCCACTTTATTAAGAGAGCCATGTTGGCATATCTGGGAAAGCCTGAATCTGAAAGATTCCCGGTTTTCCCCACTTAGTTGAAAGTTCAAGATCCTGTCCCCACACTACAAGTCCATCACATGGTCCAATCTTCCAACTGCCTTGCAGTGTTTTTTAATATCTTAAAATATGACTGAAAATATCCCCCCTCCCTCCCTTCTCTCCCTGCACCAAACGCTCTCCTCCATCTGGTGATTGGTGAAATCAAGGAAGACTCTGCCCGGAGACTGATGACATTGCAGAAGGGAGAATTCCCATTGGTCCTCTAGGGCTTTGTCAGTTCCTGGGAAAACGCGGTTCGCTGTTGTAGCCTGCGTTTCTCTGCACATCTGGGGTTTCCCAGGCATTGCGTCGTCTGAATCCCCGTTCTGGACTCGGCAGTCTTTCTGCGAAGTTGGATTGCCTGAGCAAAGGGGCCCACGAGATCTTGAGACTTGATTTTTGAGCAGTACCAATCCATTCCACTCTTTCCTTTCCCTTTCTGTCCTTCTTCTATCTTCCTTTTGTTTTTCCTTTCCTTTCTCCTTTCCTTTTTCCTTTCTCTTTTCTATTTCCCTTCCTTTCCTTTCTCTTTTTCTTTCCTTTCTCTTTTCCTTTCCTTTCTCCTTTCCTTTCCTTTCTTTTTTTTCCTTTCTCTTTTTTTCCTTTCTCTTCCCTTTCCCTCCCTTCTTCATCCTTTCCTTTCTTCTTTCCATTTCCTTTCCTTTTTCCTTTCCTTCTTTTCCATTTCCTTTCCTTTTTTCTTTCCTTCTTTCCCATTTCCTTTCCTTTTTCCTTTCCTTCTTTTCCATTTCCTTTTTTCCTTTCCTTTCCTTTTTCTTCTTTCCCATTTCCTTTCCTTTCCCTCCCCCTTCCTTCCTTCCTTCCTTCCTTCCTTCCTGGGGGTCTGAGGGAGAGGGAGGGGACCCTTTTCCTCCTTGGCCCCCTCCACAACCTCTGCTCTGATGGCAATTATGGCTAAAAAAAAATTCAGGTGCTCAGGCATGAAAATGTGCCATTCAAACACTATACTTTTCCTCACACACTGAAAAAAAAATAGAGGGAACATTGCCAAAGACCCAAAAGAAAAGATGGCTGCAGGCTTGACAACATCATGGTTATCTAAGCCTCAGGTTGGGCATGAAATGTATTCCATTCATGCCTTATAGCTCCTTGTGTGATATGGGAGTGAAATGTCTAGGTCGGAAAGTGAAGAAAAGCAATTAAAATTGGTTGTTGATTACAAGGGAGACTTTCTGTGAATTTCATGGGGCCTTTTGACTACTATGAAAGAAAAGCTGAACTGAGAATGGTTTTTTCCTTAAGTAACCTGACCCAGAGTTTGACTATCTGATACCCTCTAGTCATTTTGGACTTTAATTTCCATCAGCTACAGTGGCAAGAGTTTGTGAGAATTACAGTTTAGAAAAAAATCCCACAGTACAACAGGCTACCGTAACCTAATCTGTATTTCTACTTTCCAATGATAATATTAAGTAATTAGCCTTCCTCCCCAAAGAGTGAATTAGGAATAAACATCCTACTGCTGAACACAATTTCTTTATACAAGAAGTTTGCATAATATAATGATGATAAGGCAGCAATTGCTTTTTGTTGCAAAAGGAATATTTTGTATTCAACTTTGGGATAGAATTGTGCCGTTGAGCACTGCACTCTTAGATCAAAAGCGTGATTAGTGGTGCTGTATAGATACACTGAGATATATATTTATTTCATATGTCTTCCTTGTAAAGTTATTTGCTCTGCATAATTTTTATCTGAAGTAGATATAAGTCTTTTGAATCGCACATATTGGAAAATACTACATTACTGGGAAAACTGTACAGTATTGTTAGAAGTGTAGAGATAAGGAGAGCAGGCCAGAATGGATTCCCCAATTTGCATAGTTTCTTTCTTTATTAGGGTATTAGGAAAACGGATGGTTCATAAAAGTTCATTTGTAATGTTGACAAAAATGATCGTTTAAAATTTTCTATAATTTATTAATACAAGTAGTCCTCGACTTACAACAATTCATTAAGTGACTGTTCAAAGTTACGACGACACTGAAAAAGTGACATATGACCATTTTTAACAGTTACAACCTTTGCAGAATCTCCATGATTATGTGATCAAAATTTAGATGCTAGCCATTTGGCTCATATTTATGATCTTGCAGTGTCCAAGGATCATGTGATCACCTTTTGCAACCTCTGACCAGCAAACTCAATGGGGAAGCCAGATTCACTTAACAGCCTAGTTACTAACTTAGTGACTAAGGTATAGTAGTTCTTAACAACTATGTTGAGAAAGGTCATAAAATGGGGTAAACTTAACAAATGTCTCACAACAACAGAAATTTTGGGCTCAGTTGTAGTCATAAGTTGAGGATACCTGTAATAATATTCTTCTACACATCTATTTTAAAATAATAGTAATGCGCAGGCATGGAAAATGTAGTTAGACACTTCTGAAATAATAATACAGGAAATCCTCTACTTAAAAGACCGCA